TTTTTTTTTTTTTTAAATCAATATATAATTGCCTCATGAAATTAATATATCTAAATTAATAATTTATTTTCAATATCAATTTAATTATATAGTTTAAAATTTATTATATATGTGATATATGGCAGAATGTTTTGGGGAGCTCAAGTTCTACTATTTATGCCATTGCATTACTAGCCTCAGGCCAGAGCTCAACAATTACAGGAACTTATGCAGGACAATTTATCATGCAGGTAATTATTCAATGAATTGAATGGTTAATCAACAATTAACACTTGATTGATGATATACTTACTCAAATTTATAACATGAATACATGTACATACATTATGAGCATGTAATATAGGGATTCTTGGATCTCAAGATGAGAAAATGGCTTAGAAACTTGATGACAAGATGCATCGCCATAACACCGAGTCTTATAGTTTCAATAATCGGTGGATCTTCAGGGGCCGGTCGATTAATCATCATTGCATCGGTTTGTATATTTATTTTTAATCAAGTGTATCACAATGAATGTTAACTTGAGTACTTACAAAAAATGTATAAAATGATGAGATGAAAACACTTTTTCAAAGTAGTAACTTATTTATTTATTTTTCCAGATGATCCTATCTTTTGAGCTCCCATTTGCTCTCATCCCACTTCTTAAATTCAGCAGCACCTCCACCAAGATGGGTCCCCACAAGAACTCAATATATGTGAGTATACAATTTTGAATTTTTATTTTATTTTATTTTATTTTTGACATGACTATTTTTTTATTTATTCGTTTTCGTGCGAAGATTATCGTGGTCTCGTGGATACTCGGGCTTGGGATTATAGGAATCAACATATATTATTTGAGTACGGGATTTGTGGATTGGGTGTTACATAACAGCTTGTCGAAAATCGGGAATGTGCTGATAGGGATTGCAGTATTCCCACTTATGGCGATCTATGTGTTGTCCGTGATTTATCTAATGTTTCGTAAAGACAAAGTTGTCACGTTTATCGACCCAACAAAGCTCAACTCGAATGCCGAAACTCGAATGGAGAGTGGTATTGTTGGAGGTGGACTTGAGTTGCCCTTTAGAGAGGATCTTGCTAACATACCATTGCCCAATTAGTGTTTCTAATTTTTTCCTTTTCATCTATGTATTATTAAGAAATTAATGTGTGTATGTATCAATTTTGGGGTGGATTTGTGAGGGAATAATGGGCTGTATGTATTTTATGTAAAAACATCCTAGTCCTCAAGTAGGATTTATGGGATTTTAGTGGTAAATATGGGAAATTCAAACGGTTGGTCTTGTGTTAGGTCGGTTGACATTTTTTTTTTAGCAAATATGTATATGTTTATTAGAATATGTCATACTTGAAAAAAAATAAAAAAAAAAATAACACAAGTATGACAATTAATAGTATACTTATACATTTTTGTCTGAATAGTATGGCTCACAGTATGTATAACTGTTAGACTACCTCATGCAATAATTTGTAAAATACAATATGTTACCGGATTGTTCGAATAGTATGACGATTGATCTATATAACGATTAGATTGTCTTATACAAAATTTTTAAAATTAAAATGCTCTCAGATTGTTCGAATAGTATGACGAGTTAATCTGCATAATAGTTAAGCCACCTCATACAATAATTTGTGAAATTTAAAATGCTCTCGAAAGCAAATGAGACAATGTCTACAAGGTTATGTTACATAGCCAACCTCCATTATAACTTGGTTTACAACCAAGTGTAATGGAGGTATTTAAAAAGTATTTTTTTATATTTTTTTAATGCCTCCATTACACTTGGTTGTAAACCAAGTCGTAATGGAGGTTGGCTAAGTAGCATAATTCATGTCTACAATATCTGAATTTGATCAAATATGATTTGAAGGGTTTTGTAGATTCCTCGATTATGGTTTGACATAATAACTTTCTAAGGTTTAAAAAATGACAATGTAGGTCATAAAAATATAAATTTAATTATATGGAAAGATATCACATGGTAGAACCTTTCATATAATAATAATAATAATAATAATAATAATAATAATAATAATAATAATAATAATAATAATAATAATAATAAAACTAGTATGTTTTTTTTTTTTGTGCATGTGCAAATACTAGTATGTTCACAAATACGGCTTCGGGCACCGTCTGTGTAATTTTCCTGTTTGGGCCTTTTTTATAAGGGCAACTTTAACGGGGGTTTATTCTCAGGTTTATAAACCCACTACTGCAGGTTTTACCACTAAAGATGCAAGGTTTAAGGTTTACATTTTTAAACCAGGTTTGCAAATCCAAACCTATCATAAACCTCAATAAAAAAACCTTGTAAAATAAATTAAACAATTAAAGAATGGCGCGTAGCTTCCACACAAATGTAAAATAAACGGAAGTCTGTTTCCCACGCTCCAAATATGTTTTGAAGAGTGTGGCCCCACGTCTGAAGCCCAACTGCAATGACATTTATTTGTGTTTTTATTTATTTTTTTCGTTTTTTTAATTAATTTGGTGGCACACCTACAAAACTTGTACATTCTTTATATATTTTTATTTTTTTCCGTTATTTTATTTAAAATGCCGCCCAACTGCTATGCTATTTATTTGTTCTTTTTTTTCTCATTTTTTAATCAAATTTATGAAGTATTTACATTTAATAAAAATAAATAATATTTTAAAATGTTAATAAAAATATAAGAGTGTAATATTAAATAAAAGTAAGTGGGAGACATGTGGGACCCATGAAAATGAGGTTTATGGAGTTTATGATTATTGGAGGTTTATGATTGTAGGAGTAAGGATGAGGTTTTGGATGATGTGGCGTGTTGGGAAGTGTAAAAGTGAGATTTATGGAGGTTTATAAAGTTGTATGGCTAAAGAT